GCGGTTCAATAAAACATGTATTCGAAAAAGTTGCTGAGACACAAATTCACAAGCACCTTCATTTGAGGAGATATAACAGAGTATTGCAGCCAACCATTACAAATTAATGAAGTTAAAATAAGATATTTGATGTGTGTTAGAAATACACAAGTTGTAAATAAATAATAATTAGGTGCTATAGTATTTAAATGTCCATCATGTAAAAATCGATGTCTACGCATCGGATATGTAAATACATAAGAATTGCAGAAAAAAATGGCCCTCTTTATTGACTAAAAAGAAATCAAAATCAAAATTTGAATCATGAAAATAAAACAACCTAAACTTGAAATTTATCAAATTGAAAGAAGAAACTATAAAAGCTAATCTAAAATCAACAAAACTCAAAACAAAAAATCCTTGCAATATGTTAACATTTTTAATGAAAATTTATTAGTTAAGAGAATTAAAAAAAAAAAAAAAAAAACCAACCATTTATTCAACTCTGCATTTGCACTTTACATCTAAAAAATCATCATCATAGTAAAAAATCTAAGAGCAACTAAAATTAAAAATAACAAGTAAAATATGATGCTAAAAGAAAGTCCTAAACCCACACAAACAATCCTTCGCAAAACCCCTATCACATGTGAGTACCCCTTTGGGGATTGAGCCTAGGCAGAGACGAGCTAGGCCGGGATGGAGCTGATACCTAAGATGGTGTAGCGGTCGAGGTAGAGCAGAGTTCAGGCGAACCAAAGCCCACACCGAGCTCAATTGGCTTGGAGGCAAGGTGGAGGCAGAGGCAAGCCAAAGCCCATGTGGAGACTGTTCGGGTTCAGGTTGGGTGAAGCCTTCCGAGCTTGCACGTGAGGAGATTTGTCGGTCAACTTTTCGATGGATTTTGTAAATACGATTTTTGAAAATTTAATTTAAATATAAAGTATATAGTTTGGATTATGAACGTAGTGTTTTAATTTTTAGAAAATGAAACTGAATTGATCTCATTAGTTAAATATTTTGTATAATCGTGTCCGATACCTTGAATACTACACATTCTGAGAGATAAGTGTAGACCCCAATGATAGACCCAATCTTGCAAACTAAGAGATTTGTGACATCCATTTAGTCCGCGAACCTTTTATGTGTGACCGACAAATTTCTCTATTTAATACAAAGATTAAATAGGGTTTATCTTACCTAGGTTTCAAGTTCCCTATAAAGGCAAACTCTTATAGTTAATTACATCCCAAATGACGGAGGTCACTTGAAAAAACTCTGGATAATGATCAGAGGTACAAGTCTTCAAGAATTCATAGTTCAGGTTTTCACGGTATGATGTGGAAGACAAGTGGGAGTGACTTAAATGAGAACAATTATTTTCAGGAGTCCAAAGAAAGTAAAAGGTAGGGGACGTCATAGATCCAGAGGAGAAACCCCAGTGACTTCCTAAACTATCCCACAGTGTTGTTGTGTTTTAGAGAGGATGTTATTTGAGTGTTCAATAATGTCAATTTTATTATTTGGGACTTATACTTGCATAATAACTGATTATGCAAATAACCCGCAGAGATAAGAGGTCTTACGTCGTTTTGGAAGACAACCTCGAAACCTAAGGCAAGTTAGGACTTATATTACTCAGTATGACTGTGCAGAAGCCTAAAAGAGGGTGAGGATTTACATCGCGCAGGACGAACTATCTCGAAATCCTATGTGTTGTTTAGACTAGGAAAATTTAGCTGGTGAAAAAAACGTGCATCGATATTCGTGTTAGTCGCTCGCACGCGAAACCATAACAATATGGATGTCCTTCCTAGCTAAAGTCAACGTCCCAGACGCATCCATGTGGTCTGTTTTGTCATCCGGGATCGTCCGGATGAGTTTGCCGACGGGCGAGTTAATTCAATTCAAAATCATGTGGGTGCGATGCGTGCGCAAAATGCGGCGTTATTGAGCGTTCGGGTTCCAAGAGTTTCCCTAGGGGCTGCTCCTATTAATGTAGAAACTCGACTCGAGTTTCATGTGTCGATCCTAATCAACTTAACGAAATGCCGAGGATTCGGGACCACCCATGCGAGACTCGAATGAGTGACGAGGTGGCTCGAATTTTTTAAATGGCGTGGGTCCGGTACTAGTCCTCTAGGAGGGTCAAATAAGAGAAGCCTAAAGCTAGACCCTATGCTCTAAGGAGAGAAGTGAAGACCTCATCCGAAAATGAGGTCAACAAGATTATAGATTAAACTTTCATTATTTTAATATTTTTTTATAATACTAGTTAACATTTCAAGAATAATTTTTTTGATTCAAATGTGCTGCTTTTAATCCTAAACAAAACGAGACATAGGTGTTTATTTATTGATTGATTATATATCTATATATATCTTATATTTTATTTAATTTTTGTTTTTTTAAATTATTTTTTTAACAAGGCTTCATGAAAATTTAATTTTGCCTGTAGCTTTGGATGAGCATGCCCTTTATCTCTTGTAGCTTTGGATGAGCATGCCCTTTATCTCTTATATTTTCTATTGAAGAGTTGCTTTGTATTATTGTGAAATACTGTGGTTAAAGCTGTCAAAAGAGATCGTTGTTCATGAACAACTCATGTTTGATTTGTTAAGTAACTTGTGTTCAAATCATTCATTAAGTAAACGAACCGAACACGAACAATTTTTTAAGCTCGAATTATAAATAAACCGAACATAAACAACCCTTTGTTCAATCATGCTCGGCTCTTTTAGCTCGAAATTATATTATTTATATGATAATTTATTATATATATTTATATTTATGTTTAAATCATAACAACTCATGTGGTTATATGATTTTATGTCTTCTATTGCATAGAATTGGTGTAGGTTCGAATACAACACCTTACAACTACTTTTTCTAATTAATTTAAGTGAGTAAATTTCGAGACGAATACAAGTCGAACACGAACAAGAATATGTAAATCGAGCCAAATACGAATACATTGTTTATGAGCAATTTTGAACAAGAGCTAATTTCAAATGAGCCAAATACGAGCCAAGCCCGAGCTCGCTCAAGCTCGGCTCATTTACAACCCTAATTGTGATACCAATTGCTACAAAATAATATTTTTTATCTTAATATTTTCTATCTACTATTGTTTAGGGAAGCTGAAACCATAATCATTTCTAAAATACTTTCTTCTTTGCAACTTTCTTAAAGATTGTATGGGTCAACATTTTTGTTATCAAAAGAAATGCCTAAAATATCTGGCTAATAAGCTCCATTTGATAAACTGAATTTCTAGATCAGCAGTTAAACAAAAATTTCTCTTTTTTCATAGTTTGTAACTAATTATATATTCTCTCAACAATAACTTTCCATAATTGTTTAGAGCAACTTGCATTCTTAAAGGCTAAAGCAACCGATAAAATAATAAACTACCAGATAAAAAGATTTTTATTTGTTAAAGACTTTGCTAACAAACTTCTAGTGGTCATAGTTTTCCATTCCCCCTCAATCTTAACTATTCGTACAAAAGCACAAGAATCTAAAAAATCATTATTAGCTCTTTCTTGCTTAGCAGCTAGTGGTAGGGCCACTCCGCGAGCTGGCTTGGGCTTGAAACGTTATCGAGCTCTTGAGTTGAGCTTTTCGAGCCACAAGCTCAATTTTGAGCTCAAGCTCGTCGATTCTTGGCTCGTTGGCTCACGAGTTAGCTTGAGTGGCCGGAATTGCAGTCAATGCTTCTCTGGTGAACTGCCGCAGCACTTATTATTCTCTCCCGCCACTGATCATTTGGTGGCTTCTCCGGTTAGCTTGAGCTTGTCATTTGAACATGACTAAAGCTCGAGCATGTAATTTGACAAACAATCTAAGCTCAAATTAGGCATGATTTAAGCTCGGCTGGACTCATTTCTGCTGGTGTAACTTTTAACAATTTCCCTGAAAAACTACTACCAGCCCTTCTTCTTGGTTTTGGAAGACTATCAAAATTATTTCTATTATTATAAAATCTCAATAACGTTCAAGGTTTGTAATGGGCAAAATATCAAGGTTAGTAGCTACTACCTTCAATTGTATTTGGGCTTTCGAAATGCTTAGGTGTTATAAGAACTTCTATTGTTAAGAGAATGTTATAAGGTAGGAGACAGATATTTTTTTTTATATGGCCATGCTAAACAAAATATTTTCTTCACTGTTAAACAATTTTTTTTTGGTGACTTGGAATATTTGACATAAGTGATGATTGATTTTCTTTCAATTTGGACGACTCTTTTAGAGCATGTTTGAGAAAACTTTATATTCGCGTTATATTTCAGATTGCCAACACAATTCTATTTGAGAAATTATTTTCTTGCTACATTCTAAAAATTATATAGCAATAAGATTTTTTACGATTAGATATGTTAAGATGAATGGTTGTAAAAAACGATGCCTAACTTATTAGGAAAAAATATTTATTATTTTCATCTTAACTTTCTAACAATTTGTTTTTACTATCACAACTTTGCACCAATATTCACAAAAAAACTATAACCATCCCAAATTGACCCTTAATCGCCATCTTTTTGCTATGTGCCATTGGTTGTAATTTATTGAGCCTTTTTAAGATTATGAGCCTTCTTCGTATTCAAGCAGTTAATATTGGATTTAAAAATTGTTTTGCGGCTACACTATGTTGATGATTTACATACATAAAATGTATTTACATATCATCACCTAAACTTCATCTTTTACAAATATGTCATCTTACCTAAGCAAGAAAATCTGTAATTCACTTTTAAAAATTAAAAGTGGTATTTTTATGTGACATGAAAGATTTGGGTGTTATAAATCTAAAAAATAATATTTAGGCGTTAGATATTTAAATACATATGAATTAGGCGATATATACATAAATGCCCCCATTTGTTTGGAATTTGAGTCTCAGTGCTAACTAAATTAGAAATTAATAATTAGCGTAGGCTTTGAATCCGATCTTCCAATCAAAGAGAAGACTCTCTACCAACTCCTAAGACCAAACACACATAATTTTTAATTTGGCTACTCATATAGTCGAATTACTCACTTTCCACAGACCTTCTCATAGCAAAGGCATCTCCTTGAAAGAAGAAAAAAATAAGGGTAATATAGCAAATTCATGAATAGTAAAATTTGATAAGTTTTCAGGGGATCAGAAATAGACCTTACAGATAAGATGTTCCTCAAGCATGCTTGAATAGCTTCATACTTAGCCAATGAAAATATACAGCCACAATGACTACAGGTAGAGTCAAAGGTACCAACAAGCAGTAATATCTGCACAACAGAAACAAAATAAGCAGTAAACATTACATGTAGGAATCCATACTTGTCCTTGGCTGATATACTAAAAAAAAAAAGGAATTTGCATACATACCACCTAATTCTTATGTACTTACATATTTAACACTTAAATTTTTATTTTTGCTATTATACCACTCAAATTCTTCATATCACATCAAATATACCGCCATTTTAACTTCTAAAAAGTGGAATGTACCTTTTCACGCAAAGGTAGCGTGGTATGTATGCAAAGTCAAATTTTTCATATCACAGCAAAAATAGCGTGGTATGTATGCAAAAATTGAAGTTTAAAGTGTTAAATATGTCAATACATAAAAATTGAGTGAGATGTATGTATATCTTCCTGAAATGAATCATCTATACTGAAAGTTAATAAAACAGCATGAAGCCTTCTATCATCCAAATACTGTATAACTGAAGTATGCCAACAATCTTCCATTATAGCTTTAGTCTACAGAAAAAGGGTGGTAAATGGAGGAATTCTGACGCAGAATGTTTTTATTAGCAGGCTGTGCCCCAAATGTTGCAAAAAACAATCCTCACATGATTTTTTTACAGACTGTAGGGTGTTAAAATTACCGACTAAGTTTGACCGTGCAAATTTAAATCATAAAACAAATAAATTGTCTTAAAAAGCTTAAAATTGTAGGCTAGCTTAGAGTTTAGATTCCTAATGAAATATACATGATGCAATATCTAAAACTGACATCCCAGGTTAGTTCTTGGCAGCAACATTTGGGTCAATCAAAATCGAATTAAACTCAAAACTGAAAGTTTATTCCTAAAGATACCCTTTGCAATTGTAATGCCCGCAGTTAATCTCTTGCTTTCTTAATCATGAACAATTCTTTCACTTCTTTGTTAACTTAATCCCTGAGGTTTGTAACACCAAAACACAAATCTCACCATCTGCGATTACTGAATCTTAATTTATAATTTGAACTGAAAATGAACTAAATTGAACCAGTTTAGTTTGATTCCAATAATGATTCAAGTTTGGCCCCCAGAAACAGGCACCACTATCAATATGGCAGTTGGGCCTTTCCCACTGCCCCACCTCTTACAAATTTTATTCCCACTTTCTCCAATGGATTTGATTGCAGATTCATCCCTCAAAATCAATTATGAATCCCAGTTCTTTGTAGAATTCCTTTGATAATAAATTATGGTACATCCAATTACAAGTATTTCACTCTTAAACAAACAAATGAATTTCCAATACAAATTTACATCAGATACTTCTAAGAGAAAGTGATGGTGATATAGATGGGGATGTTATTAGTAGAATTCAGGTTGGAAAATTGAAGTGGAGGAATGCATCGGGCCTATTGTGTGATAGAAAAGTACCGCTTATAATTAAAGAAAAATTTTATAAGATGGTGGTGAGACATGCAATGCTTTATGTTGCAGAATATTGGCCTATAAAAGAAAAGCATAAAACTATATTGAGTGTTGCTGAGATGAGAATGCTTGGGTGGATGAGTGGCATGACACAGAGACAAAATGCAAAATGAATATGTCCATGAAAGGGTTGGTGTAACTCCAGTGACAGACAAGATTAGAGTGAGTCACCTTAAATGGTTTGATCATAGTAAACGTCGACCATCTAATGATCCGGTTACGAGAGATGTTTTAGATTCAACTTAAGCTAAGAAAGTTAGAGGTAGAAGTAGACCTAAAAAAGCTTGGGCATGTTTTATAAAAAATGATCGTAATTTATTAGAATTAAATGAAAATATGACACTAGATATGACACAATGAATTCATGCAGTCGACCTACCCCACTTAGTGGGATAAAAGTTTTTTGTTGTTGTTAGTATACACTTCCAAAAGAAAGGCAATACATACAGCGTGAAATTAATTCCATTAAAAACAAGTCATGTAAGAAGAAGAACCATTAAGAGGTTAGAAAACAGCCTTCTAATCTGTGTCAAATCAGTTGGCACCAATCTCTTTGGACATGTAAAGCTTTTTTCAACTAGTTAATCATGGATTTTTTTTATAAGAAACAATCTAGATAAAAACATAATCAGCTTTGACTCATTAGCAAAAATATATAACAAATTCCTAACACAACATGAAATCTAAATTATGAAAAAACAAACTAAAATTATGAACACCTTTTCCAGGTCAAAATGATTTTGCTTTACGTTGATAAAATAACAACTTACCTATCATTCTGAATAGCAAATAAAAGTTTGTTATCAAATGGTGGAAGAAGCTTTGATATTACTGCAGCAAACGTGAACACCAAAAATAAAATGGAACCAAAGATAATCAAGATTGCTCCGGAAACTAAATTTGCTGTTGAATGGTTATCCAAATAATCTGCAGGAACTGGCATGTTAAAGTATCCTAGCACTCTTTTAATCAGCGTTACATCAGATGTAGTTTCCACCCCCATGAAAGTGATTGTTGTCTCTGAAGCTTCATGGCTAACATTACAATGTGGAAACAAGATTAGTTGTACAGTAAATATAAAAAAATCTGTGATACTTACTAATGTTAAAAGCAAAGCTTGGGAAACAAAATCTTATTAAAAAAAATGACAAAAAAGTACTTTTTAAAAGTAAATGAAAAGGCTTCAAACAAAATAAATGGCATGAAGTGGCTGAAAAATATTTGATTGAAAATATGATTACATTGAAATATGTTGTTTCAATGATGGAGGATTTGAAGTCACTTTAAATTCCTTATTTAACCCTTTTAATAGCCGTCAATGTTGTTTATATGTTTAAAAAAGGTTATAGCATCTAAATGAGGAAGCGAAAAGATGATTAATCAAATGAAAACAATGCAAATATGACAATTTATTAATCCTAAACTCTTGTACAAATTGGTTTTACAGAGTAAGCTATAAATTTTATCTGAGTCATCCATTCTATGGCATCTGCTAGCTTAAGATCTTTTGACTTTGAATACAATCTTGTGCTAATGCTTTATGTTAGTTAGTGGAGGAGTGCATCGGGCCTATTGTGTGATAGGAAAGTACAGCTTAGACTTGAAGAAAAAATTATAAGACGGTGTTGAAACTTGCAATGCTTTATGGCATAGAATGTTGGCCTTTAAAAGAGAAGCATAAACCTAAGTTAAGCGTTGTTGAGATGAGAATGCTCAGGTGAATGAGTGGCTTGACACTTTGAGACAAAATGTGAAACGAATCAATCCATGAAAGCGTTGGTGTAGCTCCAATGGCAGGAATGATTAGAGAGAGTCGTCTTAGATAGTTTGGTCACATTAAACATCGACCATTTGATGATCCGGTGAGGAGAGTAGATGTTTTAGATCCGACTTATGTTAAGAAAGGCAAAGGTAGAACAAAAAAGCCTTGGGCACATTGTATAAAAATTATCTTAATTTATTAGAATAAAAATGAAAATATGACACTCAATAGGACACAATGGAGAAAAAGGATTCATGTAGCCGACCCCACTAATTGGGAAAAAGGCTTGTTGTTGTTGTTGTTGTGGCGAGTCAATAAGCTTAATTAAATAGCTGGATTGAAAGTTGAGGTTACCAGATAGAAAGGCAGCTACAAAAATTTTATGAGTCTCAATCAACTTTAAAAAATTAATATTTCTGCAACTTAGAACTTCAAAGCTCTCCAAATACAAACACAGCCTTACTAACAATATCAATGATCCAAACAGAAATGGTTTAGGCGATGACATCAATAACAACTAAATGCAAAAATCAGACTGGCTTTCCATGGTACAAGTGGGAGAATCATTAGTCAAACAAATCAATTATACAATTTCACCACATTGAGCCACCAAATAGGAATAACACAGCAGAAAGCCTGAATTGAGCATTCCCACAACACAATACAAATCCTGCTTAAGTGTGTACTTGGTAGCAGGATTTGAACAGGATTTACGAAGAATTTAACCTAAATCCTGCGAAACAGCAAAAAATGACATTTTAAAATCCTACAGGTTCTTAAATCCCGTTTTTCCTCAATTTTACCTTACATCCAGGATTTAGAAAATCCCGTTGGAAGACTGATTTACGGGATTTAGAGAAGCTGAAGCGCGAGAGGAAGGGGGAGAAAGACGAGGGTTGCCTTCCTCAATAATTTTGGGTAGGAGCAGAGCTGAAGGAGGAGAAAATTGGGAGTTTCGGAGGGCTTTGTACTCTGCGATCCCGTCGTTGCCTTCCCAGCTAGCTATATGTGCGATACGAAGAAATATTACATCAGTACACTAACCACTTTATTTTTAAGTAAAACACGCCACGACATCTCGATGTCGCGCGGCGGAGTAAGAAAAACGGCGCAGTAACACGGAGAATATTCTCTCATGTGTTATTCATGTGTTATTGCGCGTTATTCATATGTTATTGGGACGTTATTTTTAAGTGCGTGGCCAATCAAAACACGTCACGATATCTCGATGTCGCGCGGCGGAGTAAGAAAAACGGCGCAGTAACATGGAGAATATTCTCTCCTGTGTTATTCATGTGTTATTGCGCGTTATTCATGTGTTATTGCATGTTATTCATGTGTTATTGATGTGTTATTGTGTTATTATAACACCAAGAATATTCTCAGG